AAGTTTTAAGTAATCTGCTTAAAGCATGTACATGTACGAGATATACATTTCCACCAGAACTGTATGTCCATCACACACACCAAGTTTCTAAATGAGTATTGAATTTTCTTAGTTATGACTTCGCATGGAAGGATGCTGGTAAGTATGAAAACACACTGGGAACAACTGTATCTCTCTCTGCCAGTACTATGCCCCTGGGAAATAATAAAACAACGCATGGGCATACCTTGGTTAATTAACATGTTTGAGGACAGGAATTCCACACAGGACAGATCTTTTTTATTATCCCCATTCAACAACATTCTCTGAAATGTAATACTACGGTATATGTTCAATGGTCAGTGTATAATTAAATTTATATTAACTGAGTGAGGCTGAAGGAAGAAAACTCCAGAGATTCCTTGATGTGAGGCAAACCATGCTAACCACCGTACCACATCCATGTTCAGACAACAATTTATACAAGTATAAGGATAAACGTTTCTGTTTAACTCCATTGAATTTTACAAAGATTTTAGTTGGAGGAAAGCGCATACAACAAATTACACTTAAATCGATTTGTCTAGCAGTCATCTGGCATTTATAGATGCACTCAGACGTTCCTCAGCAACACTGCATTGTCAGATATCAGTCTTTTCTAAATACGCTTTAACAAAGACTCACAAAATAACAGCATTTAATCATCATTTAAGATGATAGACATTTCCTGCTGGGTGTAATCTGATTGTACATTCAGAACTGCATGTAAATTTAGGTTGTTGGATTCTACTGTTACATTTGTTCATATTTAAGGATGTTTGATACAGTTTCACAAAAAACAGAGAATTTTCAATTTTTTTGGTACACTAGGAAATTATTCTATTATCGTATAATCTAATTAAATAATGGGGGTCACCTACATGTACCTTATTCTTGAGAAAATAGTATGTTTATATTATGCAGTTATTAAAGAAAAATGGGAAACATGACCTTTTTAACTATAAAAAAAACATTGTAAATTTTTTGACTCCCATGTGCGAAGCACACAATTGGAGTCTTTACAGTTAGCCTGTCTGTATGTTTATGTGTGTGTGTATGTTTATGTGTGTGTCCCCACTGAAACTTAATTGATAAATATTGATTATGGCCTCAGACTACATTCACCATTAAATACAAATTGATAATCGGACAGTAGTATGGCATAGCCGTTCATGACCTGAAATTGACCTCATTTGACGCGCACATTTACACTCGGACCAAACCATTTTCTCGTCTTGGGTTTTTTTTTTTTCATTTTCTGTTATTTTTGTCTATGATTGGATATAAAAAAAACGAACTACAAATACTTTTTTTTGACTTCATTAAAAAATAAAATCGTTTTTGTAGGATGGGAACTTTTTCAGGTCAGAACCCCCCACCCCCAAACTAAAGCAAATAAGTTTTTTATCTGACATCGATCTTTTGACGTCATCCCTTAATAGTAGCACATTATGGTCAACAGTCCTATTTTATTGACCCATGATACAATAAATGCAATTTTTGGTTTACATGCGCTTCTATCCGAGATGTGCTTTTAATAACTGACTAGTAAGAGCAAATATGGTATTTCCGTCTTTTTTTAATCGAACAACCAAAAAGCCATAGCACTAACATTTTTGTAAACTGTTGTAAACATATTTTGAAATGTTCCACCTAGGATAACAAATAGTGAAATTATGGTAGTGCTTATGCAGCATATGTGACGTGCGTCACAGGGTCTTTATTTAAAGCAGATTACATTAGGGCAACGTCACAAATGAACAATGCATATATGGTAGTGAGTAAGGGGGTGGTGAAACAGCCGCATGGAGCATTTGAATCAATAGAAGATCTCTAAATACATTTACATACGTGTTTTTGTATACAGGTCAAGGTAACCATGTACGTCACACACACTGATACCCTGTATAGCAAGATGGTACAGTAGAGTATGCTTTGTGGGCTAAAACAGAAATGTATAAATACTTGAAATAGCATGTCATGAATCCCTCCCATCACTTGAACTTGATCTCCTTAGGTTATTTCACAGAAAGTTAATATCAATTCACATTTACATTGTATTATTAAAATACTTAACCATCAGGCACATACACAAAATTGGCAAGCAACTGTAAACGAGAACTGAAAACAAGTACCAGTATATTTGAAACGAATCTCTGATTTGAATAGATTTGAGTTTTTTAAAATAAATTTTAATTTTTAATACAATATCAATACATCCCTTAAATGCTCTCAAAATATGAAACCACTACTAAAATTTCTGCCCTCCTCAATCCCATGGGGGTGTTTACTGCGGAATTCCTGTACCCCATCATGCAAAGCAGACCATCTCCCTGTATACAAAACAATATATTATATACCTTACCTGGACAAATACTGTGAAGAATATAACTATGAGACAAGTTGTGAGAAAAAGGCTTTTGCGTTGGGCCATCACTTTTGTTGGCTCTTCCAATAAAATAACGAGTGAGAATGCTATAGCACCTCTCAAACCGCCATAAGCCATGATGAACTGCTCCACTTTATTCACTTTGATTGCCCGGAACTTATTGGCTAATGCAGTCAGAATGATTACTCCTATAGAGAAAGCACATCACATACTCTTGAATGAAGTACAATGATACGATAATTGTTAAGCAATCTGTCTTACTTTGTATGTCCTTTCATTTGTAAATAACTTAAAAGTCTCTATTCAACAATTTGTACAAAACCACAGTTAAATTTTCTGCAAGGTACAATGTATATAGTGAGTATAAACACACACAATAAACTTAATTTCAACTTTTTTTAGAAGATTCTCTGCATTGCATAATTTGCGTTAAGCTAACCATGTTGCAGAATGTATCAACTCTTTTTCTCCATCCTAAATCAAAGCTTTCAAAAGATGTACATGCATGCTATAAAACATTACACATTATTGTGTAACTAACAGAGACATACTGATTTAAAAATCAGTAAAATTTCCCTAGTCGCTACAATCATTTGTTCAACTTTCACAATTATTATAGAAAAATAAATAAATATTTGGAAACACAATTTTATTTATATATTGATATATTAAATTATACAACGCACCCATATAATAACCATATAAATTATAATTAATAAATATCAATATTTTCATACATGTATATTAATGAAATTTGAAAAATAATTATCACAGCAAATCTTATGTGAGTGTGGACACATTCCATCTGAAGTTGGGTTGACATTGGAGGCCAATATTCAAAAATTGCTTCAATAAACATCAAGAGATATAATTTCAATAAAGGTAATCGATTGACGAATAACAAATTAATGGCCAATTTTGTACAATTATAATAAGACATTGTCAGGAAGAAAACCACTCAAAGGCTGAGCACACTATTATACATTTGAAGAAGTCATTGATAACTATTCTGTCCAAAAATTAAATATTCTCGTGCAAAGAGTGTGTGGACACTACTAGTATTCCAAATTCAGACCTATGCTACTAAAGGAAACAAGACTTGCATATCTTATCAAAAATGCCAAAAGGTATTATCTAATCAATTCACTGCTTCACAAGTACTCTACTTAAATCACTAATAAAATAAGGGTCACTTCATTCACCGCATGGCTCATGTACATGACTGGGTTCGTACACGGCTTTAAGTGTCGCAACGTCAGCTAATTTTCCAGTCGATGTTGAAGGCACAGCTTTCACAAAATCAAGCACACTATAGTTCTTTGATAATTTAGCCATATTTTCCATATGCTTTTTCCCCTTTTCATGACTTTTGAGAGCACTGATGCCCATGAATAGCAACGTCAAAATTTACCATGCAAACCGAACATCTGGCTTCGTACTGTGATGACGAACTTTGCATAATCCACTCCCCATATACTTTGTGACTCAACCACAAATCCCGAAACTTGGTTTTCCCCATACTAGAAAAGTTAAGTGAGCAAATTAGGCCGTAGGTCGAAATTTTTACACAAAAAAGATTGAAACACCACTGATCACGTCACACCAATTGCCTCCATTACTTTTGCACATGCACATGCGCATTACGTCATGACATGGCTGCTCGTCTTGATTCCGATCGATTCGGAATGAATCTCTAAACCGAACCCTTTTTCAGAGTCATCATATCCCCCCAATATTAACATTATTTTATTGCTTTCACAATCTCAAAAAAATCCATAGCTTACATTTATTTATTTCCCTTTTGCGATCCATGAAATAAAAACATACAACATTTCCTGGGCTTGCCTAAGTAGGCACTGAAAGCCAATCAACAAGCCGAATTCACACAGCTCATGACCTTACGTTGCTGTGACAACCAACATGACCCCTAAACCGGCAGACTTCACCACAGATCGACAATCGTCAATTTATAATCAAAAGACGGAGAGGAAAAATGGGAGAGTGGCCAAAAATAAAAAAAAAAAAATTGTGAAATTCAAGGTTTTTCCAGGATTTTAAATAAAAAAGCAAAATTTCAAGGCTTTTCAAGGCCTGGAAAAGTGATTTTCAAAATTCTAGTATATTCCAGGAATTCAAGGCTGTGTTCGAACCCTGCATGACATACATTGTAGGTATGAACAATACAATATACATTGTACACTCAGAATTATTGACAACCTATTTCAAGAGTATTATATCCATTCAATTTTCAATACTAAAGTACTGTACATCCAATAATGTGCATTTCAACAAAAAATATTTTAACATTTCAAAGTGAGTGAACCATTGAAAAATTCTTACCTATAGCCCGGTAGAACAGACAAAAGAACAGTGTACAAAGCACAAATGCACTATCCCATACATGGTCATCTCGGACCGCTGATAAACCCAGAAACATGAAAATAATAGTTTCACTTATACTCGTCAACATCTTCATAAAATATTTGACAGTAGTGTGTGATTTCTGTGATATATTAGCTTCTACGTATTTTTTCATGATGATTCCACAAAATACAATTCTGTTGAAAGAGAAAAAGGGAGGATTCAGTCATGAATATTATTTTCCTTCATCCAACTTGCAAGTTGAATGACCATTTAAAATATCATATTTATTTTACTCGACATGCACATCTGAGGCACATGCAAACCATAAACTGTATTTATTGTATGCTGAATCCTAAAAATATGATTTATTTTGACTACACATATTGACAAACCTTGTTTATGTAAGTGCATGGGCTACTAATAGACATTATAGTTGTGCATGTTGATCATAAATAACAGTAGTAAAAGTATATCCTCATTCAGATTGACATACCAGTACTTTCATTGTAAAAGTACACAAGTCATCATAGCCAAGGACATTGCACACCGACAAAATAAAATCTGTTCTACAGCTTGTGCCTATATTAACATTGATCAGATTTATATTCCCTATAATACATAGGAATTGACATTTCTTACATGCCATTTATAATATTTGGAAACACTAATCTAAATAACATAAACTTTATGCAAGTGCTACAGTACATGAGATAGAATCAGAATCAGCTAAGTAATTTTTTTTTTTTAAACTGAAGATTCGCCTTTTTCACCACCAGTTCCCTCTTTGGATCACAAATTCACAAAATAGTCTTGTTTATAGTCTGTACTTTCCTTCAGAAGATTGGGACAAAAAATCCCTTTTGAGTAAAAATTGACTTAAATTTTGTTCGTTGGCTTCAAAATTAGGGTTCATTTCCAGAAATATTGAAGAATATAAGAAAAGAAAAGTGAGAAAGTGTGGTAATGAAAAGGTTAAACTGATTTATAACACCCACGGACGATAAGTTAGGAAACCTTATTAAAGACTATTCAGCAATAAAAGGCATTCAAAGTCAACATCATCCAACTGGCAAAATGCTTGCTCTGGTTGTACATGTATTAAAAGTGCAGTGACCTAAGAATACTTGTTATGCTTGTGGTAAATGCACTTACACAGTATCGTAAAGTGTATGTGCTTTAGATAGAGCAAATAACGACTGATTAAAATCAAAACCTGATTAGTTAGTTGCTTGTTGTATGAATACTGAAGAATACTTGTGACCAATTTTTCACTTCTAGACTTGTGTGTAACGCGAGTCATTATCCTAGTGTTTCTGAGAGCTTTGTCAAGCTTAATGTGGATTCTTCTGTTATGTTGCAAAAGACGTCTTTTAGCTTCTCAGAAAGAATTACAAATAGTGACAATCATATTTTGTCATATATATTCTGAATAGTGACATTTTTTGTAGTTCCAGTAACTGTACATTGTGGAGGAGACGTTTTTATACCCAAGGTTTTCTTTTTAACTTTTTTGTGCTTGTCATTTATATGAAATATAGTAATAATACCAGAGTAGACAGAAAATTATACTTACGCCATGATTCCAGAGAAACCAAATATTTCAGCAGTGAGGTAGGAGAGATAACTCATAACAAACACAAATAATGGTTCAATCACTCGAACATGATCTGTAAATTTGGTGACAAATCCCGTCAGTAGACCCCATACGATACCAATAAGTGTACCGCCAATACCAATAATTAGAAAAGATGTTACTCCAACAACACAGTCAACTGGTAGAATGTTATCAGCACCCATCGCTGCAAATTGCTTGAACATTCGATATAGCACCTAAATTTAAAAAAAAAAAATGTTTACATGTTATGCATTGTTCAATGGTGTGGGCTGCTTACACTTTACAACTTTACAACTATTTAAGTCACAGAGTTTGCATTACTGTGCATGTTAATGAGTATATGCATTATGACAAAACAAATTCCAATTGAAATAAAAAAAATGTAATATTAAAATAAATGTAAATTGTTTGGAAAATATTACGATTCATAACAATGGCAATATATTACAGCAATTCCAGGCAATGATTTGACACTGAAGTAGTGCTAGAAGTTGATAACTTACTACAATAGGTTTGTACACACTTTGTTTTCAAATTTACAGAAGTTGTTACAAATAATGCAGACACGCACTGGAAGAAAGCTCCGCCCATAAAAGTGGCGGTACATTAGTTTTGAATTTCTCCTCCAATAAACGATCGAGGCTCTCAACTTAGTTTCGTACTTCAATTTGCGTCACATGTTATTTCAGTGAGAGGGCATAAAGTGGTGGCACTGTAAAGAACGTTATTTTACAGAACCAGCTGACCGTCTGATCATGACAGAATTATTGATCAAAGTGCATTATTCCTATTATAGAAATATCCGTATCACGCCGATGTATATAACTGAAAGCTGCCTGCAACAAATGTCCTATGGAGACTTCATCCAGTATATCAATAATGAAATTGAATACATAATTAAAATGGGTGTTATTCGATTATTAGTTCTCGACGATGAGAACCAAAAGGTTGATGTGCCACCAAATAATATCACTGGCAACACACGTCCGGGGAGGGTTGCCATCGTATACAAGTAGTTTTTGTCGAATTTCCCGTTCGTAAATGCGCGGTCCCAATGGTTTAAAATATTCGACATACTGCAAAAGGATTAATTATTCACTGGGTTTTAATTTTGCTTATTTCGCTGACTGGAAAATGCGCTAAATTAAAACCCAGTGAATATGTAAAATTTAACATAGAACACATTATCTAAATGATAAAACCGTGAATTTAAAACCATGTGAATATGCCTGAAATGCTAAATCAGTGAAATTTAAACCACGTGAATATTAGTCCTTTTACAGTAGTCTTATAACGTTGTCAGTTTCCTGGCAGGATACTCTCGGTGGTAACAAACCATTTGACGATATTATAAGCTGCCTGTTTTGAAACAACATTTCGATCTCTAATCTCAGCAAATGACAGTCCACGAAAATACAAATTGACAACTCTTGTTCTTATTTCAACTGGTTATTTGACTCTTTGCTTCTCCATCGTGGTGCTCAAACAACTTGGACATACATGTGTATGCCGATTTGTAGACACGCAATCGACACAATGACCGGCCAAAAATGAATGAAAGACCGACGCGCCTCAAAGTCTAGGTGTATCTGACTTTGTAGCAAAAATAGAAAACATTGTGGGCAATATCTGTCAATCATTCCTCTGATTTGCAGCCGATGTTTATATTTCTAGTTACAACTTATGTAAATGTGAAAACAAAGTGTGTAACCTATTGTAGTAAGTTATCAACATCTAGCACTACTTCAGCGTCAAATCAGTGCCTGGAATTGCTGTAATTGTTTACCCAATGTCACTCATACCTTGACCAACAGCCTTTCTATCGTGTGATAAAGGTACTGTTTTCTACCATAGGTAAAAAAATGTAAAAACAACACTAACATGCAAAATTGAGCATGGTAGTTTTACCATGTTTCTCAGGTCTATTAGGCACGGCAATTTTACCATACTTGGCTAGTGAAGTGCAAGATTACCCCCAGGTCTATTAAGGTTGTATTGTTGGCAAAATTATGTTAGAAGCCTTTGACAAGTAAACAAATTTCAAAAATTATGCATAGATAGCAGCCCAAATTCTCAATAGGTGCAAATTACATTCAAATGCACAAGATATAACAGTTTGAAATAAATAACATGGTAACTTTATGAGTAATCAAGCTCACAAAGTACATGTACGGACGACAGATGACGGATGACAGACAATGGACAACAGACAACAGACATTTTTGCTAACAAAATCAATGTAATGTTCAAAGTTCTGAAATATCCACTTCTTAACGTGTTTCATATCTCAATTGCATATAGAAACACCATTTCCTGAACTTGGTATATTTTCCTAACTTTTGAAGTAATTCTATTACAAATATCATAAGAATTTGGAAATCAGTACATTTGAAAAATGAAAGCTGTGTGCTGCCAAGTTGAGGTTGGGAGAATGAAAAATAGTGAAGGCTGAATATTACATTTGTATGTGACTTGAGCATAAAAACAAACCATGAAAAATGTCTGAAACTATATAGCAAAAACATGCACATTTACCATATTTCAAACATAACCAATAGCCAATATGGTATTAGGGTGGTGTATAAAAACATCCCATGGACTGTATTAAATGGAAGATGCACACTGGATAAATACAGTACCGGTATTTTAATCAGTGATACAAGATAAAATAAGCCCTTAATTGTGATCAAATCAAATTAATTAACACAAAAGGCATGGAGGTAAGCACACAAATTTTACTTTATACTGTACTTGCTGACTAAATGGCGCCAAAAGACGAAGGGTTGAAGTTTTAATTTGCATGACTGACTTAAAAATATACGAGTGAAATTTGTACTAGTTAATCAGCTCTTGTACAAGTAATAATTAATTAACACATAAGGTAAGCACACAAATTTTACTTTATACTGTAGTCGCTGACAAAATGGCGCCAATAGACAAAGGGTCAGAGTTTTATTGGTATGACTAGGTAACTTAAAAATATACCCGTGAAATTTGTGCTAGTCAATCAGCTCGTGTACAGGTACATGCAAAGCATGCACAACTCTCTCACTACAGATTGTAATTAACAGAGTAACTCTGTAGTTCAACAAAAGTACGGTAGACATGCAGAGTAATTAGATTTCGAGTTCTTGAGTAAAAAAGCCACAATGCTTTAATAAAGATGCTACCGCAACTGACAGTACTGAATGAGAGAAAAGTAATATAGCTGACAACATAGGATAGAGCAGTCCAGTAAATTACACAGGTTAAAAATATACAATATAGTTTGAAATTGCTCTCTATATATCCGTACACGAGCGTACTGACGTCAATTGACAATTTCGCGAATCAGCATGCACATGTCAGGGTAAAATATTGTACACTGATCAGCACTGGTTTATGGTCTGCTGTGACAAAGTTATCCATAAGATGTTTTATTAACCGAAATACATAAATGTACATGCACACCTAACCTTTTTACCACCACTAGTCCTGTTTAGATTCAGCACTTTTCTTCGAAAGATTGAGACAAAAACAAATTTTTTTTAGTAAAAAATAAAAATTTTACTCAAATTTTGTCTTTAGGCTCCAAAATTAGGATTAATTTCTAGAAATATTTAAGAATACAAGAAAAAAGTGCAGAAAAATTTGGATGAGAAAGTTTGGTGGTGAAAAGGTTAATAACAGCAGCCAAAGCGAAAGACTTTTCACATGCAAAGCCCAAACAAGTGCAGTCCTACTGATTTTCAAAGAATGTTTTGTCTTGACTTGACATTTCAGTTATGTAAACTCCCAATTTATAAACAAGTTTTCTCTTGAAGATTATTGTACATGCTTGCTGCGAGTAATGTATTAGACTGTTGACAGTTTCATGACCTGATATTTTAGTTTTTTTCTGTGAAAACAATAGTCAGAAAATAAAAAAAAAAAGGCCTCAGGACTTTCAACAGTCAGTAAAATGCATCACTTACAGCAAGTGCATGTATGTACAATAATCTTCAAGAGTAAAACTCTTGCGTTGTTAGCCATGCGTAAAATCAAGAAGAACTTTTGAAAAAAAATACAGACTACTCAGCATTATTGTTTCTAAGGGAAGTTGTAAAATCAATTCGTCCTTTAGTCACTTAGTATAAGGAACACTAACTAGAAAAATATCACGTACAATAAAAGCAAACAATCCATAACATTTTCAGTTTAATATTATTTTTGAAAAAATGTGCATAAATTAATTTGAACATTAGGATTCACTTTATCCATTGTACAGCTTAATATCAGATTATTATTCATATAAATATATAAATTTATAAAAAATTTTTTTTAAAAGGGAACGCAGTAAACTGCCAGTGAATACCTGGTAATACATTAATGTCAATTTATAGACCTATGTTTATAGCTGTACATTTGTACATGTAGTCTTTCATTTGATGAATAATTAAATCAAACTTAGAAAGAACCCCAATGTGCTGAGAGTATTCGGTAATTATTATGAATGTATATAAACCCAAAACTAATTAGATCGTTGCATTGTCTTTATGTATTTATGTACCAAGTTTCATTGAAATACATAAAGATAAGTACTTGAGATATTGCTGAAAACTGACTGATTATTTTGCAAATCAGGTAATTAATATGCACAGATTTTAACCAAAAACTAATCAGGTCTGTGCATAGTCCTTGAGCATCTATGTACCAAGTTGCATCAAAATCCAACAAATGAGTGGCTCTTTAGATATCAGTGGATTCAAAATCTGTGCATTAGCCCAGAGCAATGATCTGAAAATGTCTCATTATTTTTTATGTATATTCAAATTTGGACAATAGCTTTACATATCATTATATGACCATTGGAAGGATAGAAATCCTTGATTTTAATGCAATGTTAACATTAAAATAGCTGCCATTCAGCCATTTTGATTGTCAAACAAAAGTGCATACAAGCACATACATGTACATGTATGACATGCTATACGATTGATCAAGGCATGTTTGAGATATGGCTCAGGAACAACAGTTGTTAAAACAAGATGGTGCCATTTTGAATTTGATCTAAAAATTATCATGCAGTGACTCATTATCTCCGATAAACCAAGTTTGAACAAAAATTGAACAAAAACGACCTAAATCTGGTTTGGGAACAACAGAAATGCTCAATTTTGAAATGATTGTTACTCATAAAAATGGTTGTTTCTCAGCAATCTTGAATCATAACAAGGAACAATTGAATGTGCATATG